CCTGGCCTATTGTTGAAGGATGGAGGAGAGGGATGGAGGAGAGGGAGGGAGGGAGGAAGGAAAGGGAAGGAGGGAGGGGAGAGAGGGAGGGAGGGGGAAAATACATTAAAATCATGAGACAGAGCTAAGCAAAGAGGAGGGTGACCCAAACAAAGCCAGTTTACAATGAGCTCTGGGGGAGGGGGGTCATTGTTGCCTCAAGAACTCTATCGTCTTGTGTTAGGACAGTGACAGCCCCAAACGGCCTCTACCACACCTCCCGAAGCATATCGCTGAGCACAGGCTTGACAACGTTTCTTCCTTTGGCTTCTTCAGAAGAAGAGGATGTGAATGAAAAGACTAGGTGAAGAAGGAATCTGTCCTTCCCACTGCTAATGGTGTTTTCTACAGACCTGGTGGCATGCAGGCAATAGGGACAACTCTCATCTTCCTCAAGCTCCAAATCATGGAAAGCCAGTCATGTGTGTTCCCGTAGAAGCTGATCTGCCACTCTGAGCCCAAATGTGAGCCTGCCTCGGATTCCCCCACGGGGCAGGAACAATGTCCTCCCAGGACCTGAGGAGATGAGGCAAGGACTAAATGTGCACAGGCAGAATACTGATGTATTTCTCCCATTCTGTTTAATGCCTATGGACGAGCATGTGTTTGTCAACCACCTTAAAAGAAACAGCATGCACTGGAGAAAAGGGAGGAGTTTTCTTCAGGAAGATAGGGGCTAAGCCAAGAGAATGACTAGGTGAGACAGCTCCACCCATGGACTAGCCTGGGCATCCAGCACCACCCACAAAGGGGTGGGGCCAAAGGGTGAAAGCCTCTCAGAGCACCTGAGAGAAGCAGGAGCTTGGCCAAACCCCAGAGGTGCCTGCTGGTGCTGGGCACTGCCCCAAGTCCTAACAACAGGAAAGGAGCACAGATCTAGATTTAAAGGGACCTGGGAAGTCATCAAGTCAACCCTGTCACTGCACAGAAAAGAAAGAAAATGGAGGCCCATAAGGCTAAGAAACTCACCTGGGGGCACAGAGCTAAGAAGTGAAGTGTGTGAGGGAGATTGGAATCCAGGTCTTCCTGACTCCAAGTCCCAGCCTTTTCAGAAGTGTCTCAGACAGCAGTCCCTGGAACTCCCACCTCTCACACTGAATTTTCTTCTAAGAGCCTCCCTTTCTTCTCCTGGGCTAAGAGATGCATTTTGCTCACCAAGCCCCCACCCCCACATGCTGGTGTCTCCTGAACTCCGCACTGGCAGGATAGCCTTTGTCCCTAGCTTCTCTCCCAGTGGCCACACCTCCAATTTCAGATCTAAAGCTCTCCTGCCTGTCTGCCTTTCCTTGGGACAAATGGGAGGGGAGGTCTCTCCATAAGCAGCAAGCTACTTGGCTACCATAGCCCTGCTTTATCAAGAAGGCCACCATCTCCACAAAGGTTAAGATCAGGTCTTTTCAAAGCCCCCACAAGCATGCCCCCTCAAATGACCATGCAGCCTGTGGTGGAAGAGCTGCAATGAGAGGGAACTCACACACACACACACACACCCCTGGCTCCCACATGCCTGCAAAGAGCCCATGCTGTCGGAATAGGCAAGGGAATTCTTCCTGAAGGCCAGCCTAGACTGGCCCCTTTGTGACACCCTCCGTCCTCGAGATGTGCTGGGAGATGTGCTGGGAACAAAGCTGGGCACAACATCAGGATGGCCTGGATTCACACCCAGGCTCAAACAGATAACAGCTGGGTGGCCTGGGCAAGTACCCAGATGGCCCCTCAGACCCAGGTCCAACAGCCCTCAAGATATTTCACTTCAGCTCCTGCCTTCTCATTGGAGCTTTTCTCCTCCAAATCCCTGGCCTACAGTCCCCTCAATATCCTGCTTCTTACAGCCCATTCGTTTTCCTCAAATGCAGGCCCAGAGCCACGTCCAGGGCTTCAGGCAGGCCTAACCAGAATCAGTGACAGGCTGACGAGCCATTTTTAAAAATACAAAGCACCTGGCTCCAGGCCTGATTCTGATGCTCTAAATATCCTGAAAGGGCCTCAAGTGGGTAAACCTTGGGCACTAACACGAAAGTGGTGCAACAATCATCCCCTGTTCTGGAGGACCATCTGAATGTTCCATCAGAAAACCCCAGTGCTAGACCCCTAAAGTGGAAATGCAGCAAGAGCTCAGCCCTCTGCAAAGGGCCACCCTGCAGCTGGAGGGCAGCAAACCTGAGAGAAAATGTTGCCAGGAAAGTGCATTCGCCCAAAATGCCAGCCTAGGCCCACTTGGGAGGAACTCCTCTACTCCCAGGATGCTTTGCCTTTTCTGATGGCTAGACAGACTCCCCCCACCCTGAGCCCCTGCAAGAGGACAGCACAACATGGACATTTCAAATTCAATTTGTCAAACCTCAGAACAAAGAGAATAATCCTTCAGGTCATGCTGTGGGTGGGATTCTTACAGCCAAAGTCCAGCCCTGGGCACTGGCAGCAAGGGGACAGCCAGTGCCAGGCCAGGGATTGGCCAAGCTGGGGAGGGGCAGGGGCAATGGACGTGACAGGAGCTATCAGCTGCTGGGCCTTCGGAAAAGCTGGAGAATGGGTCCAGCCCCAAATACCTGGCCATAAATGGCATGCTTACTTTGTCAGCCAAGAGAGTGAGGCACGCTGGGAGAATGCCTGGTCCTGAGCTGATGCTAGCTGAATCCAAGGCCTCCCTCCTCCCTATGTCTCTCTTAGACCTTGTTGTGATTCCTGAACTGGTGACCTGACCTCTGCATCAGCTATAACCTCTCACCTCTGACCTTCACAGAATGTCAGAGCAGGACAGAATTTAGGAGGTACCTAGTTCAACCCCCCCCCCTTGACAGAGGAGGAAACTGAGGCCCGAGGGCACTTGAGTTCAGACCTGAACTCTGATGTCCAGTCTGGGATTTCTTTCAGTACACAGAAGATCATGACATCTGGGGCTGGACCCCTGGGCCAGTCCCCTTGTGGGTTGGCCCCAGAGAGAGTAGGGGACTTGCCCAAGGTCACACAATAACTCGGGGGCAGAACCAGGACTCTCAAGGCTCTGTCAGCTCTGGGTAAAGTGAAAGGAAGAATAATAAGAAGAAGTCCCTTCATGTTATCCCAGAACAATGGTTTAAAAAAACGTTCTCTGCTGTTTTCAGAGCTAAGACCTCAGCATCCCACAGTGTGGCAGAGATCCAGGGGACTTTAGAAGGAACAAAGGAGAGAGCAAAGGGAGAAGAAGTCTTCTGGGACGACGTGGGGTGGCTGGAAGCCAGAAGGCCTCTAGACGCCAACGACTGAGACGCTCTGTCTATTCCCCCCCTCTAGGCCCTAACCATCTCAGGTGCCCATTAATGGAACTATTGGCTTTCTGCTCACATGGTCGCTGTCACACTGCAGCAGAAATAAACCTAATGCCACATAAGAATATTGAATGCCAGAGGCAGAGGAAGAGAATTACTTTTCCATCAACGTAGCAGGAAGCATGGCTTTCACAGACTTTCACAAATACACTGTTTTAAAAACTACTTGTTGGGTTCATATCTCTGCCCTGCACCACATGGCTCAGATGTGGCAGCCACTTTCCATGTAGACTGTGGGTCACCTCCCTCCTCCCCTTCAAGATCCCAGTCCCAAACAAGGCCTCAACTAGATTACATTTGTGCAGGTCTCACTGGAACGGAAATTGGACAGATGAAAAAGATTGGAGGGTGACACATTATCCAAGCAGAGCTCACAAGTCAAACTTAATAGTAAAACCATTTCGACTCCACATAGACAACCATGAAAACAAATATCCTGTATGCCGCCGAGAGCCGGGCTATCTGCACAGCCCATCTCTAGGCCTCTGGGAGACAGGTGCCCATTCATTTGGGGCTTGGATCACCCGACTCCAGTTGACAGAAAAGGTCTGATAAAGCTCTAAGAAATCAGATAAGCACGTTTGTGACTCCTAGCTGTAATGTGGAGGGGACAGTGCGGAGGGAAAGGAAGATAGACGCCTGGAGGAACAGAAGCACCAAGGCAGGCCTGAGGCCCCATCCTCCATCTTCACACGTGCAGGTCCCTTCAGTCAAATCTTGGGGCCACAACAACCAAAGCTTCCTGTAAGTCTGAATACAGGTGGCATGTTTCCCCTCAGAGGCATCATCTCTACAACCTCAAGATGGCCTAAATCAGAATTATCTGCCGGAGTATTACTTGTACCTTTTTTCCCTTCAAAGAGATCAGAAGATGATGAGATTTATGTAATTATTTTAAAGAGAATGAAACTGAGACTCTGAGAGTTGAAGTGTCTTTCCCAAAGCCACACAGGAAATATCAGAGCCCAGAATTTTCATGTGGGTCTTTGAACTCCAAATCCAGAGCTCTTTCTACTACTCCTAGTTTTCACACTGGGGGTGGTCTCCAGACCAATACTATAACCAATGGATAAAGGGGACCTTGGTATAGAAAGACGTTTGCAAAAGTCGGTTGACAATTTCTTTTAATACAAAAGCAGCAAACAGTTGCCTGTGTGTAGACAATTAGCCAGATTACATTCCTTCTAGCAAATGGGAAAAGAGAGGGCTAAATGCTTCCAAATCCCCAAGTCAGGTGATCTCTGCCCCCAGGGGCTCTGTGGCAAGACACATTCCTCTGTAAGAGGGTCCTGCCATCAACTGTGACCCCACTTGACTAGGTCAATTCCTTGCGGATTGGTTGCCTGCAAAGAGCAGAAGAAGGACGCAGGCCTTTGTTGTCATTTCACCCTTCAGGTTGTTTGTTTCTGTGACATCTCTTTATAATCACAAAGTAACTGCATATCAAGCATTCGCAAACTATCGCTGTTTATAGAACGTGCCAATTTTTATGCCATAATTAGTACCCTTCTATGTGTCTTGCAAGAATATTTGTCATTATTTCTGAAGAAATGAGTCTATTTCCCATAACAAAGCCAGTGAATTCTTTAAAGAAACCGAACCAATTTTCCTTCTCATCAAAACAATGCTGAAGGTAGTTCTGACTTCACTTACCTGTGATTCTTTCACGTTTTCAACAGTGAAATTGAACCAGACCCTGAAGCGCGGATTGCAGGTATCGGGCCTTATGAACAGGTCATATTCAAACTCGGAGACATGATCCACCCGGCCAAGATTACCTAGGAACAAACAGGAAGACAAACGGAATGTAATGGAATACAGATATCATGACCACATGACTGCCAAAAGTTGACAGTTATTAATAATTGTGACATTGCCTCAGTGAGGCAATCAGGGTTAAGTGACTTGCCCAAGGTCACACAGCTAGTACGTGTAAAGTGCTTAGTCTGAGGCCGCATCTGAACTCAGGTCCTCCTGACTTCTGGGCCGGTGTTCTATCCACTGCTCTACCTAGCCGCCCCTGCTTCACTCTACTTTTCAAGTCAAGCACCTAAGAAATGCAATTAGCCCTATGAGTAAGTCTGAACCTGCAATTAGAAGGTGCTGCCACCAGGTGGCACTAGTGTCCCAAGCAGAGCCACATGCCCAAAGTGGACTAATAATCACATTACAGTGGCTCAGCCAATCCTGTGAAGAACCCACTATAGGTATCATCACTCCAAGTTTATAGATAAGGAAACCGAAGCCCAGAGAGATCCAGTGACCCACCCACGGTCACCCAGCTGGGACAGAGGCAGGATGTGCACCCAGGTCTTCCTGACTCGGCCCTCCCTCCCGCGCTGGCCGCCGGCCGTACAATAGGATCCCTGCCGAGCACCGACTGGCCTCTGAAAGCTATGACGCTGTCTACGTTTCCCTGTATTTCTAGGTGCTCGGTTAAATCTTTCCGTCACACTGTCGCCCAGGAGCCCCTGCACTCCACCAAGCTCCCTGGATGCGACGCTTCCGCTGCAGAGGCAGCTCCCTTGCCCTGCCTTTGGAGCAGACCCGGGCTCTTCCCTGCGGCCGAGAGCCTGGCGAAGCCCGTGCGTTGAAAGACCGTGGTGGGATAATGCGCCGCCTGCCTCGTGGACAGTTTGTCATCACCCACCTTGAGTACGAAAGCCCATTGCGCCTGCTCCCTGTTTCCAATTCTGACTCATCACTGGGGCCCCTCTCTCTACCTCGGCAGTCATGCCCCTTGTTCACAAGGTTCTGCTGATTCTTCCTTTCGACCCCAACTACATCCCCCAGTCGTTTCAATCATGTCCGAATCTTCCTGACTCCGTTTGGGGCTTTCTTGGCAGAGATAACTGGAGTGGTTGGCCATTTCCTTCTCCAGCTCATTTGACAGATGAGGAAACTCAGGCAAGCAAGATGAAGTGACTTGCCCAGGATCACACAGGTAATGAATGTCTGAGGGCACATTTGAACCCAGGAAGGTGAGTCTTCCTGACTCTAGGCCGGGCGCTCTGTGCACTGCACCACCTAGCTGCCCTACCATTACTCTAGCTCAGGCATTTCTGGCCATCAAAGTATTACTATAACAGTCTGCTTACTGATCTCTCCATCTTTACCCTCTCTTCACTCTGGATTATTTTTGCCAATATTAGCAATTATTAATCATCTTTAAACACACTTTAATTACATCATGGGCCTGTTCAATAACCTCTTCCATTAACGGATAAATCCCTAACTTCCGGGACTGAAATCCAAGGACTTCTACAATCTGGCTTCACCTTGATTTTCCAGCTGTGTCTCCTGATAACTGCCACACAAACCTCACCATGCCCACAAACGCTCTAATCCAGGGGCCGGGAATGTGTGGCCTGGAGGCCATGGGCTTGCTACTTCCTCCGAGGCCGCAATCTGCCCACCCCCCACCGCCAAAGGAATCCCTTACCCTCCCCCCTCCAACTATTAAATCTTACCCATATTTCAAACCCTAAGTCACATCTCCCTTGCTCCACACAGCTCTCGCCCAACACTCCAGCTTGATGTATTCTAGTGGGCCTCTCTCTGACTGGCCTGCTCTTCCCAGTACACGACATTCCATCTCTCAGCTCCACACTTTTGCACAGTCTGACCCCCAGGACCAATACGCATTCCCTCCTTACCTCCATCTCCTGGAATCCCTAGATTCCTTCAAAGCATGAATATGTCACCTTCTAAAGGAAACCTGTCCTGATCACCCCACCCCACCCCCAGCATCTGCTAATGCCCCCCTCCTCCTCACTTCCCATTCATTCTCAGGGCCAAGCTTGTTCTTTACAGTTTTGCAACATTGATTTTCAACTGTTTGTGCCTGTTCAATTACATTGTTGCAGACATCATGGAAAGAGAGACAGAGAGACAGAGACAGAGGGAGAGGGAGAAACAGAGAAAGACAGAGAGACAGAAAGAGAGAGGGACAGAGAGAGAAAGAATAGTTTCAATGGTTCTACTTCACAACAGTGCATGTAAGTTTTTACATGCTTCTCTGTATTTTCACATTATTTTTTCCTTACAGGACAGTAATATCACATTATTTGCTTACACACAATTTGTTCAAGCACTCCCCAGTTTATGGGGATCTAATTTACTTCCAAGTCTCTGCAATCACAAAATATACTGCTATTGATATTTAATATCTCTAGGAATTTTCTGTCTTTGGGACATAAGCCTAGCAACACAATCTCTAAGTCCAAGTGTGGGCACTTTAGTCACATTTTAAAAATCTAACTCCATGCTGCTTTCCAGAGCAGTTGGGTTGTAAGCTCCTTGAGGGCAGAAGCCTTCTTTTACCTCTTTTTGTAACATTAGCACTTAGCCCAGGACCTGGAACACAGCTGGTGTATAATCAATTTTACTGATCATTTCACCACTCCAATAGCAGCATACTAGTGCCCTCATCTTCCCACGACCCCTCCCAACATTAACTCTTCCCCTCTCTTGTCCCCTTTGCCAATTTGTTGAGTGTTTTAAAGGCTTGCATTTCTCTTCTTAGTGATTTGGAGAAATCTTTCATGTTTGCAGATCTTGTCACGATTTGTCATGTAATTCTTAATTTGAAAACCATCTATGTCTAAAACTGTATATCCAAAATAGAACTCACTTGGTTTCCCCCTGTTCTGAGCTCATGTCGAGGGACCCATCATTCTCCCAATCACCCCAGACTGTCACGTCTCCAGCATCCCTGACTCCTCACTCAAGCTCACCCACATGGTCAATAAGAGGCTTTCCTCAAAAGATAAGTAGTATCTCTCTAAAAACAAGACCAAACATTATCTTTAATGGGGATAAGCTAGAAGCTTTTCCAATAAGATCAGAGATGAAGCAAGGATGTCCATTATCACTATTACTAAACAATATTGTGCTAGAGATGCTAGCTATAACAATAAGAAAAAGAAATTGGAGGAATAAGCATAAGTAAAGAGGAAACAAAACTACCATTTTTCACAGATGATATGATGGTTTATTTAGAGAACCCTAGAGTCAAATAAAAAAACTAATCAAGATAATTAACAACTTCAACACATTTGCAGGATATAAAATAAACATATACATATCATCAGCATTTTCATATATTACCAACAAAATCCAGAAGGAAGAATTAGAAAGAGAAATTCTATTTAAAATAACTATGGACAGTATAACATACTTGGGAATTTACCTACCAAGATACACACAGGATCTATATGAATACAAAACATTCATCAGACAAATAAAAATAAACACAAATAAATGGAGAAATATTAATTGCTTATGGGTATTCTGAGCAAATACAATAAAAATGACAATACTATCTAAATTAGTTGATTTATTCAGTGCCATACCAATCAAACTCACAAAGAATTACTTTACAGAACTAAAAAAAATTAACAAAATTGACTTGGAGAAACAAAAAGTAAAGAGTATCAAGGGCTTATTAAAAATGGAAAGGAAAGGGGCCTAGTAGGGCCAGATCTCAAATGATACCACAGATCTATAATCATAAAAACATTTTGGTACTGGGTAAAAAATAGAGGGTGATCAGTAGAACAGATTAAATAGATAATATATGGAAGCAAATGAGCACAATAATTTAATATGTGATAAAAGATCCTTGTTACTGGAACAAGAACTCACTGTTCAACAAAAACTATTGGAAAAACTAGAAAGTAGTTGTCAGAACCTAGGTGTAGACCAATATTTCACACTTTGTAACAACATAAGCTCAAAATGAATACGTGATATAGACATAAAGAGTGACATCATAAGCAAATTAGTGGGAAATGGAAGAAATTACCTGTCAGCTTTATGGCTAAAGAAACAGTCCATGACCAAACCAAAACAGATATGTCCCCCTGTTCCGAACTTAGTGTCGAGGGACCCATCATTCTCCCAATCACCCCGGACTGCCACCTCTCTAGCATTACCGACCCCTCATTCTAGCTTACCCACATGGTCAATCTTTTCTTAACTCTTGTCACTTCCACCTTTGCACCATCTCCCATCTGTGTCCCCTTCTTTCTACTCCAGCCTTGGGATCATGACCTCAGGCCTAGACCACTGCAACTGCTGGCCTCCCTTATTCACAGGAGATAAAACAGATAGTTTTGATTACATAAAGTTAAAAAGTTTTTGCACAAACAAAACTAATGCAGCTAAAACTGGAGGAGGGGGACAGGAAACTGAGGAAGATATCTTCACAGCAAGTTTCTCTAAGATATATATGGAACTCAGTAAAATTTAAAAGAAATAAAATAGCTATTCCCTAATCACTAAATGATCAAAGGATATGAATAGGCAGTTTTTAGAGGAAGAAATCCAAGCTATCAATAGCCACCTGAAAAAATTCTCTATATCACTGATAATTACCACTTCATACCAGTCACATTGGAAAAGATGACAAAAAAGAAAAATGGCAAATGCTGGAGAGGCAGTTAGAAAATAGGTACACCAAGGCACAGTTGGTGAAGCAATATAAAAATTCTGGAAAGCAATATAGAACAAAGCCAAAAAGCTATTAAGCCGCATCTACTTTTTAACCTGGCAATATTGCCACAATGTCTATACACCTAAAAGAGATCAAAGAAGAATAAAGACCTATATGTATAAAAATATTTACATAATCTTTTTTGTTGTACCAAAGAACTGGAAACTAAGGAGAATGCCCATGAAGAATGACTGAACACATTATGGTATATGAATATGATGGAATGCTATCGTGCTACAAGAGATGATGAAGAGGATGGTTTCAGAGAAACCTGGGAAGACT